TTGGAAACAAAAAGAAGTCGCACGGGGCCAAATCTGGAGAATACGGTGGATGGGGTAGTAGTTCGTAGCCCAATTCGACCAATTTGACCGTGGCGAGGGCGGAGGTGTGAGCCGGTGCGTTGTCATGGTGGAAGAGCACTTTTTTCTTCGCCAAATGGGGCCGTTTTTTCTGCAATTCGGCGTCGAATCGGCCCAATAATTCGGCATAGTACAGCCCTGTGACCGTTTTGCCCTTCTCCAGGTAGTCGATGTAGATCACACCTTGTGAATCCCAGAAAACGGTGGCCATCACCTTTCCGGCCGATAGGACAGTCTTCGCTTTCTTCGGAGCACGTTCGCCGGGTGAAGTCCACTGTTTCGACTGTTCCTCGGTCTCTGGTGTGTACCAGTGGATCCATGTTTCGTCGACGGTCACGAAACGACGCAGAAACTCCTTCGGATTGCGCTTAAACAGCGTCAAACACTGCTTTGAAGTGGTCTCACGGTTGCGCTTGTTGTCCGGAGTGAGCAAACGCGGCACCCATCGCGCCGACAGCTTTCTCATGCCCAAAATTTCATGCAGGATATGACCCACGCGGTCTTTTGAGATGCCTACTGTCTCAGCTATCTCGCGCACCTTCAATCGGCGGTCTGCCAATACGAGATCGTGGATTTTTGTCATGTTATCCTCCGTGGTAGCCGTTTTCGGGGCACCTGGGCGTGGCTCATCAAAAACCGACGTGCGACCACGTTGAAACTCGTTAAACCAATTCTTGACGGTCGCCATTGAAGGAGAAGAATCACCGTACACAGCATCCAAGCGTTCTTTGATTTCGCTGCGCGATTTCCCTTCCAAAAACAAGAATCGAATCACCGACCGATATTGCTCTTTTTCCATTTTTCTAAAATCCGCGGACACGCCCGCTTCCACACGCGGTCAAAACAAAACTACGAGTCCGATTCGGCTGAAATTTCGACAGTAGCCGTCTACGAGAATGTACTACACGATAGTAAATTTCTCTTGCGATAGTGGCGCCATCGGGCGGTGAGGCTAAGTACTTATCGGACCGCCCTCGTATATACTTTCAACTTTACAAGTATTATATCACATTGTTTTACATATTACATATCACAATATTTTATTACGAAAACATCTATAAACTAAAAATCATAAACTAAACAAATTTATAAACTGAATGCATAAACTAATATATATACGTGTGTGTGTATGTAAACTATAAAGTATATAAACTAAAAAAAAGAAATATTAAGTTGGAAAGAATAGCAATATATAATAATTGAAAAAAATAATAATATATTAAATTAAAAAATTAATTGTTATTGTTATTTTTCCTTGGTTTTTATTGTTATTATTGCTGCGTTCCTTTGCTCTTTGTAACCACTTTTTAATTGCTTCTTCGCAATCTTTATTGGTGGAGTTTGGAATACTCTTTTTAGTAGAACCTGTAATATGTTAAAAACAAATTAACAATTAGAAAATTGTATATAGATAATATATTTATTTAAATTATTTATGTTTTATTTGTTATATATTTTTATTCATATTTGTTTATTATATATTTTTTAATATTTATTTTTTTATTTTAATTGATATATAATTATCTTGACGTTTTGATCAGTCTAGTTCCTCATCAGTATGATTTTTATTCCTTGATATTATTATAATTAATGCAAATTTTGTTTTTAAATAAGTTATTAGTAAGAAACGTGATATTTCTAACAGTGGAATTTAAAGATTAAACAAAATCTCTTTCTTTTAATGATACATAGAAACTCTTTAATTTCTTACCAACTGATGAGATTTCGTTTTGGTCATTTAACATTGATGAGCAGCAGGTCAAAAGAAGGAAGTAACTGATGAAATTATTCAGTAACGAATCATCGAAATCACACGATTCACTACGGACTTATATAATAATTTAAATTGAAATATAATAATTTAAATTGAAAATATTTAATAATTATAAAGCGCAGGAAATTTTACACTAAGTTCAAAATATATCTAAATATACAAAGTATAATTTGATATATAGGGTGTTTGATAGCTGATCATGCAGACGAAAGTTGGAGATAGATTGGGTGTAGCCGAGAATTAAAGTCATGTACCATAATGTCAAATTGCCAATAGTTATCGAGTTATTAATTAAAACATGTGAGCCAACAAGCGCGTAGAGAACGGAGGGCGACCGCAGTAAGCACATAGACATTTGATACAGGCGGAGTCAGCGAGTGTCGATAGGCGAGCACGCGCGGCGAGGGGCAACGTAAACGACAAGAGGCGAGCGCGCGCGACGAGGAGCGAGCGAGCGCGAACGATGAAGAGCGAGCGAGAGCAAGCGACAAGAGGCGAGCGAGCGCGACGAAGAGCGAGCGAGCGCGAACGACGAGGAGCGAGCGAGCTATAAGGAAAAAGCTATAAAGAAAAAACTCGCTCGCTCCTCGTCGCGCGCGATCACCTCTTGTCGCTTACGCTGCCCCTCGCGCGCTTGCCTACCGACACTCACTGACTCCGCCTGTATCAAATGTCTACGTGCTTACTGCGGCCGCCCTCCACTCTCTACGCGCTCGTTGGCTCACATGTTTTAATTAATAACTCGATAACTATTGCCAATTTGATATTATGGTACATGACTTTTCTTCTCGGCTACACCCAATCTATCTCCAACTTTCGTCTGCATGATCAGCTATCAAACACCCTGTATACACTATAGTATATATATCAAATAATACATAATATATTTAGTTATAATACCAAAAATCAAAATAACTAACAATGTCGTACATGTCCATGTACGAACATCCATTGGACGTACAGTATATATCCATACATTAATTATATAAAGTGGATTTCAAATGGATGTCCACTGGATGTACGTTTATTATTAGTCAATGTACGTACTTATATGGACGTACAATGGACAACTATTTTATGTCCATGGATATATGAACGTAAAATGGACGTAAAATGAACGTCCATAAGACGTACTGCGCTATTTGGGTATGTACAAAATATATTTACATTTATATGTATGTGTGTGTGTGTGTACGTTATTTTATTTTTATATGATTCTTCTTACATTGTCAATGTTTCCATTACATAAATATATAATAAAATTTCTTTAATATTTTAAAGTCATTTGATGCAATGTGTTATGTATTACTTTATATTTTATCACTTGTCATATATAATTTCCCTATTACTGTTATACTAAAAATATTTCATAATATGCAACATAAAAATTATAATTTTATTACATAACATTTATTTCACATTTCATCTTATTATGCCCCATATTTGTTTCTAAACTTTTAAAAAATTAATTCCTTATGACAGAATAGGAAAATATGATTTATGGCAAATAAAACGCGTATTTTTACAAATAAATATTTATATATTTATTCAGTATCAATAATATTAATATGATCATCAGTATTATACATATCTTGTTGCCCGTACATAACTACGCTTATGCGTATTTCTTGCTGTCATGAGTCTGCGTCATTGACTGTCACTAAACGATTGCGCATTCGACCTGCGCAGACAAGGAAAGAAAAGTTCCCCGATATCTTGCTTCTCTCATCGTTCTGCCAAACCCGCTATGCTCAGTCTATTATATATGCTATGGAAAATACTGCGTTCTGATTGGTGCATTTCCATCCATCTTCGGAAATGTACTAATCAGAACGCTGTATTTTCATTCAGCAAGCAATGCAGCACGAAAACAAGCACCGTGTGCCGCTGACTTTATATAGAAGTTTGTGCCTGAAAGTGGATGTAGCACGGAATTCCACCACATGCAGATTTTACCACCGAGACCTGATCGTGGTTCCCCTCTCAAAATGGATGCAGATGGCGCCCTTTCCGAGTGCGGAAAGTCAGTGTCGCAGGCCGTGTTGGCCGCTCACAGGTTTTTCTCTGGTGACCAAGTCGCGTCGGTTGCGTTCAGAAAACAAAACGCTCACTGAGCTTAGTAACTATTTGGTCCTTACTGTTAGATCCTTATAATGGCTGCGTTCAGCAGAAAAGTGATCATTGAGCGCTTAGTGATTCTCGCTCCTAATTGGTAAATACTTCTGGGTCTATGAAGAATCTAAAAGAATGCTCCAATCACAGACAATAATCACTAAGCGCTCACTGATCACTTTGGCCGCGCTCAGTAGAACAAAGTGATCAGAGAGCGCTTAGTGATTATTGTCTGTGATTGGAGCATTCTTTTAGATTCTTCATAGACCCTGAAGTATTTACCAATCAGGAGCGAGATTCAGTGGAAAATCTAGTAATGTTGTCCAACTGTTGAGTCTGCTGAATGCAGCCAGTGGCCGCGTTTAGTAGAACAAAGTGATCAGAGAGCGCTTAGTGATTATTGTCTGTGATTGGAGCATTCTTTTAGATTCTTCATAGACCCTGAAGTATTTACCAATCAGGAGCGAGATTCAGTGGAAAATCTAGTAATGTTGTCCAACTGTTGAGTCTGCTGAATGCAGCCAGTGGCCGCGTTTAGTAGAACAAAGTGATCAGAGAGCGCTTAGTGATTATTGTCTGTGATTGGAGCATTCTTTTAGATTCTTCATAGACTCAGAAGTATTTACCAATCAGGAGCGAGATTCAATGGAAAATCTAGTAGTGTTGTCCAACTGTTGAGTCTGCTGAATGCAGCCATTGTTCTGCTGAACGCAGCCATTCAGACCAATAACGTTGCGAAATTACTCAACCGTTGTGTAACCGTTGTGTTTTCTGAACGCAGCCATCAATACGTGCCGATCGGACGCTGCTCGAGCCGTCCAATCGCGAGAATGATTTATCTCGTAAAAAGCGCGCGATTCGAAACAAACGAAACAAACGCATGATACGGCTGTAATATCGCATGCTCAGCATGCAGCATCGCGAGCCGGCCTTACATAAGACACTCACACGGCCGAGGCCGGGAAGGAGAAGGAGAGGAACTCGGGTTTAAAGCGTCGGGCGCACCGCTGAAGGAGGTCAGTGGCGAAGAAGCTAGCTTGAATGTCGCGGGTGACCTGCGCGTCGCTAAAATCAATGAGCGCGACCGGCACGGAGAATATCAACGGCGCTGCACCACCGTCGCCGACGCCACCGTCGGGCCGCGTCGTCGCCGTGAATATCGTCGGTGCCGCTCGCGCCGTGTCCGGCCTGTTCCGCCGCAGTCTGTCCGACGTTCTTCACAGCGAGTCTCGACGCTGCCGTGATCTCCGTGACGATCATGTGAGTGCGTGCGACGAGATGCCGGGTCGCGAGGATATGGATCTCTGCACCGACAAGGTCCTCTCCAAGGCCAGGATCCTGCAGGAGCTTACGAAGGCGGTGAAGCTGGTGAGACACCGTCAATCTCGCACACGGACGACGGCTGTTCGTTCGCTGTTGTTCCTTGTAGACGCGCATATGTCGTCGTTGCGCCGCTGCTGTCACTACTACTATTGCATGTGTATCAAGCCCCGCGACGAAGAATTGCCCGACCTGGGGCGGCTGTTCCTTTGCGAGATCCCCGAATGCGCTTTGAAGCGGCGTGCGAGATCATGCGGGCGTAAAATCGACACGCGTATCCGAACGAGAGAATATTGGCTCAGGATCGAGGTCAAAGAGTATACATATTTCGTATCGTACTTGTTCGCAAGTCTCGTGTATGCTCTCATTTCCTATTTACGCGCAAAAAGAGCGCGATATTACAGCGAGAACTGTGAACCTCGTTGTTTCGACTTGGACCGCGTCAGCTAGACGAGCTGCCGTACCCGTTGCGGTACGAGGTTTGTTCGTTTTTAGCTGTACGTGCGCTTCGAAAGGGACTGGAGTATATTCACGAAAGATACGTATATATACGAGTAGTGTGTATGTGTGTGTGTGTGTGTATATATATACACACACATATATATATATGTGTGTGTCGTGTGACGTCGTGAACCCTACTCGCGAGTTAATCGCGACGTAGCCAGCGGCTCGAAATCGAACGCTCATGCGCGCACACCATACACACACACACACACGACATGCGAGTGATCGCAGATTGCGCGAGCATATTAAAGTCGCACCACTGTCCCTTTAAACGAGGTGCACGCGTCGCGAATCCTTCGTCTTCCTCGCATTTTCGTGCGCGCAACGACACTTCGCGACGAGACGACGACGCTGCCCAGAAGTGAGTCATACTGCACTTTCGCCGTAATCGGAAACTAGCTAAGCTGTCAGGCTGCATTGACGTTTGACAGTTGCGCGGATGTGCGTTGCACGGAACAGCTGATAAAAGCTGTCCATTCTCTTTCTCCCTCTGCGCTTCGCATTACTTCGTTTTCTCCCTTTCGCCGTTTCTTGATTGTTCCGCTTTTAGCGCAGACTAAAGAGGATGGATTAAAATTGGCATTGTTGTAGCAAGGCTAGAGTTTGTTTTGTTCGCGCCAATAAACGCGTGATATGTGTGCTCTTAGTGAAAGGTAGAATTGTATCTCAATGTAGTTTCTTTTTCTTTTTTTATTATCCACGTTTCCCCGTGACATTTTGCACAGCCTTTTGCTGACAGAAACTTACTTGAGATCAAAGTACAAACAATTTTTTATATACTCATGATCTTGTACATGTATTTCTCATGTTCTCAGTGTCAAGCAAGTATTTCAATTGTTAGAAGTATTTTAGTAACTCATTGTCATTGCTGTGACTATCTTCATTTGTTACTGCTTGAATATCTTCTTAATTTATAATATATGCACGAGTTATTCTCGTGTAATTTTTTAATTGTATTTTATAAAAAGGTGTTTTCTTCATAGATGCATGGTAGATAAAAATAATATATATGTGCCTCGAACAGGTTTATGCCCAAAGTCTGTATGGCACTGTGGTCTTGGATGGTGACTCCTGGTTGGTTTACTGGTTGGACCGAGCGCTGCGTCATGGATTGCGTGTAGAAAGACATGGATATTGGGGCACTGCTAGAGAACTTAGCCACCAAGATACTGTCGTGGTCATTCATGCATTGCAGAGTGTATTGACATCTATTGGAAAAGGTATGCACAAACATTGGTTATACGAGCTATGTAATTTCCTCTGTGTTTTCTGATGTTTAATTCTGACTTGATTAAAGTTTACATTTAATGGCTATAACTGTAGCTTTATCTTATCATGAAGCTGTTGATCTGCGGAAAAAACAAGTATAAAACAACAATTTGTATTTCACAACTGGAAAGATTTAAAATTATGTAACAAGGGAAATGTATGCATTCTCTCTTAAGCTATTTGATTTACAAAAAACTTTCATGATTATATTTGAAATTTCATGATTATCTTTATCAGCAATATTTTATTCAATTAAATTGGACGTTATTAAGTGAATTTATATTTAGATTACATTCAAAAATAAATATAACACATATATATATATATATATATACACACGTTTTTATTTATTATATTATATCATAATGTGTATATATTATATGTGTAATAACATGTGCAGGTCGAGCATGGCTCTATCACACTCTGAGCGAGGGCAGCTTTGAGAGCTATCTGGCCTGTTTACTGCGAGACACCAAGACATTAAAAAAGCAGTACTTTCCACACGCGCTTGTAAGAGATGCCGATAAGACTAATCAATTGGTCAATCTTCTTGCCGGTTTGGAAAACGTGTCCTTCACATTGCAATTGGTACGTTAAGCAGACGGAATAAATAGCGGAATATAAATATTATAGTTTACGAAATGATTTCGTAAGCAATAACAGTTTGACAGAAAGCGGAGATTAACTTTCTCTCCGTCCGATGTTTAGCGCATCGTGCGTTTCTTATTCTATTTTCTGCCACATGGAGAGCGAGATATCAATATCACCCCCTGGTTACACTTATCGTGCTAATGAATAACATTAATCACATATAACACGCGTCGCGTATGCCGATAGACCTTTTTATATCAAGTTGCAGCAGTTACAAGGGGCAACGGGTTATCGTTTTATTTCCGACCGCATACTTTATTTCGTGCGAAATATATGCTTTGCTTTTATTCATGGAAAATTTTCTGGGAACGCGTTACCGAGAGAAAAAGTTATCTCCATGGGATTAACTTAAAATTGCAAGGTTTGTAACATCAATGTGCGGTTGATAACTCGCGACACAAAACTATTATATAGCAACTGATTTCACACGTCCGCGGACCTTATCTTTGTATGCATTATACACCACACGGTCTGTTTGTTCATGGAAAATTTTCTGGAGGCTTGTTGGTTCCCGCAAGAGAAACTTTGACGGGGATTTATTTTCCAGTCGCACGATACGTTTTGTCAACGTGTACGACCGATAATTCATATCGACTGAAATAAAACTGATACTGTTATGTAGAATATGATACTATTATGTGGAAAATTATGTGGAATTGATGTGCAGGATGTGACGTATTTGGACATCTGCAATTACATGCCACAGAGGCCTATGAGCGTAAATCCATCAGGAACAGTCTTATCGTTGCATCTAAGATCTTCTAGTGTTTCATCGAGCCTAGCTTCTCCGGGGGACAGTGGTGTTGCGTTCGACAGCGATATGGACCTTGCGAATGAGACCGACGGTAGCAGTTACAAAGAGGTAAACATCTAAATTGAATGACCATTGAATGAATTGAAGACCATGCGGAAGAAAAATCTATATTACTGAATAATACTTGAATATACACATGCGAATCTTTGCAGGAGGATTTTTCAATGGACGATATTCCGAAGTACCGAAATAATAGGTACAAGACCATTATCAACAACTGCATGGAAGACAATAAGAATTTCGGATCCAGCGATTCCAGCGAAGACGGCAAGACGCCAACTCAATCACCGGCAATCACCAAATTTCAAACCGTCATGATGACAAAGACCGACATAGTTAATCAGAACGTAACTCGAAAACTCGATGATAACGAGATGAATTGCTCCAGCTTGGAGACTATTAAAGGCTACGACTTCTACAGTAAAAGCCTCGATGAAACAAAGTTGGAGAAAATAGGCAAGATCGACAACGGCACCAAGGATCTCAGCAAGAGGAGCGCTTACTACAGCGATAGCGCTTATAGCTTTAAGAAGAACATAGATCCTCGTAATTCTTATCTGATCAATAATGATACAAATTTGTTGGAGCTGAGCATGACTATTTCCGATTGCGATAATATGGATACTCCCTACGGCATTTTGAACACCATCAACATGACCGACGCCAGCATTCTGTCTTCCTCCAGCTCGGAGGCTATAGTACAACGCAGGCAGCGTAAGAAGAAGCGCGGTGAAAGTAAGAAGCGGGTCAGCTTCCACGAAGACATACTAAAGACAATGAAGCTGGAGGATGATGAGAGCTATGCCGATTTCTCCATGAGTTTCTTGTCTCCCAATTCCGTTCTGAAGAGGGACGCGCAGAAAGGCAGGTATAGTTGGTGCGCGCACGGTGATTCGCCGTACACCCAGAAGAACGCGAACGCGGGGAGGAATGTACACTCGGACTGTTACTCCTTCTCGTCGTCGTCTAGCACGTTCGACAGCGACACTGACAAGCAAACACCGTCAAAGTTCTGCATTGAAGTGCCGTGTCAGCGCAATTGCAGATGCAACTGTGGTTTATCTTTGTCGGAGCGTGGAGCACCAGAGGGTCAAGAGGATCCGGGCAAGAGCTTGAGGCCCAAGATGGAAATAGAGTTGGAAGAGAACGAGGCTCAGGAAGCCTATATTGTCGAGAAAGCGTGCGGCAACATTGTCGAGGATCCACCGATCAAGGTAGAGATGCCGCAAACTGGGAACCCGAAAAAGTATGCTAACTCGAGCGACTGGTCAGATGTAGACAGCGTGGCAACGTCTGACCTGGATGAACGTAAAAGTAACAGACATCTAGCCTCGCCGCTGAAAAAGCGCAATATGACGGCGATATTGACCGGCGAGAGCAGTAGCAAGCTCCTGGCGCCGCCTCTGCGTCAGGCACCGTCGAAGACGTCATTGTTGAGCAGATTTTTGAAGTCGATCACGGAGAGGAAGTTCGAGATCAAGAAGAACAAGAAACCGCCAAAGGCGAACACTCTGTACATCAAAGGAGTCAAGACGAGCTATGATTCCTTCAAGGACTTCAACGACAATCTCGACAAGGAGATTCAGGAGAACGTGGCTGCTGAGAAGCAGGAGTTCAGCGGCGAGAAAATCAGCCTAAAATTGCGCGAACTTTTCAAGAGACATATATACCGCGACAAAACGGAGGAGCTGTATAAAGTATACAAAGTCAGGAGCTCCTATATGACGAACGGCGAGAGCAAACCGATGATCGCGTTGTTGACGGACAAGACGTTATACTTAACCGGTTCTAAGATGGATCATTCTTATAGCAACCAGTTCGTTATTCCTTACAATGAATTAGACGTCATAATGGTAAGAGAACATGAAACAATTGATCGTATTTCTAGATGCGCGCATATAATTTGCTAAGTGAAATATGTACGTTTGTTTCAGATCGGACCGAATGCACAAAATATTTTAATATCCAACGCCGATTGCGAAATGCAATATCTGTTCTCCACCGGCAGTTCGCAAACTACCTCAGAGTTAATTGGTCACTTGGAGATGGCCATGAGACGGTCGCCGTCAAAACCGAAGCTTCCTGCTGTCAAAGAACTGAATTACGAGGATATGCACATTCTGAGGAATTCGATTCTTTCCGACACGGCAGTGCATCCGGTATGTAAACTTATTTTTATACAACCGTAATATTGCAATTTCCTAAGTTAGATTAACTATTCAATTGAAGAACGAATGTAACTTTCCGTCATATATATTTTCTCCCCTAAAGAACAACTCACGATATAGTCTTCCATTCTTAATATCTCGTAATTTATAGACTCAATTATTGCTTCGAAATTTTTGCTAGCAATGATCGACTGCTGCAAATTTAACCAAAGATAAAACCGTGTCGACTTTTTCAGCAAATGTAGGTTAATCTATATAATCATCGTGAATCTATTTCTGGTCTAATCTATTATTTATTGTTGCAGGATGAAAAAATCGAACATTATAGTCTTATTTATATGGAAGACGAACACATGTCGCCGCCCAGCACACCGTGCGGCCCCACAAAAGAGGGTGATCTGATGTTCCGGCCACACACTTACCAACATTTATATCCGAACGCACCGACAAATCCCTGGGAGGCCGGCTACTTTGTTCTGAAGGGCGGCGTGGTTTACATGTTCACAGACTCGAATCAGCGGCTTCCTAAGCGTGCTATACCCTTGAAAGGAGGTCTGTGCCAAGGATGCAGAAGAATCCCGAATTCTCATCGGCCACATACCTTCGAGATACTGTTGAAGCCCAACAAGTCGTACCAGTTCGCTGCTCCGGACGAATATGTAGCTTCCGAATGGCTGCAAAGCTTTGTTCAAAGCGCATCGGGTCTATTCGATAGTTCGGAAAAGCGAGAGCCGTTGCCTTGCAGCCTGATTACGACCACGGAACACTTAGTGGCGATGAAGGAGGTCCATCCCGGTACGCAAAGGGGTCAAACGCTCTCTTGCGCCTCTATTAAGGATTTAGCGGCGTTCAGAGTGCCGTTAGTACAGCAATCATGGTGTATACTGGTGAGTATACATAGCCCTACGGTAGATGTAGAACATAGGATAATTCGTTTAACGTTACTAATGCTTCAAAGTGACGGATAGACTAAACAGATTGGTTTATATTTGACACTTCTCGAAACATTAGTAATATCGAACGGACCATGTCCATGTACTGTCTCATGCTTCATCGCTGAGTAAATAAATATTTATAGGAATTCGCGTGTCGGGAAGTGCACGAAAATAGCGGCGATTGGGTTATATACTTTACGGATTATACGGAGCTCTGTACTTTCAAAGAGATTCTGGAAACTTTATGGGCGGATGCGAACTTGGTATGAGATATTTATAACTACATTTCGCAGAGAGAGAGAGAGAGAGAGAGAGAGAGAGAGATGATGATTTTTATAAAATTACACGCATATATTAATATGCAATTTTTTGTCTTTTGTAGGGCGAATTTCCTATGGCGACACTTCCACCAGAGGATAAGCTGCAACGACGTTGTTCAGACGCCAGTAGAGATTTGGAGCATGCCTGGCGGTACTTGTTACCACCAGCTTTAGAGTAAACGAGAAAGATGTACCAGTAGAGACAATATATAACACCGTCATTTAAGAAATTATTTTATCATATTGCCATTATAAATGGCGACAAAAGTGAATATTCAGGTTACCCATATCCGGAACCCAGATCGGAACACTGATGTGTCGCATGCCGAAGTTATACCGCTTATGCAACGTATTCCGAATTTCTTTTGCTTCTATTTCGAATTAGGTGCCATATATCTGTCACATGGGACTAGAAACAGTATATTATCTCGTGGCTTATAAGTAGAACAACAGATATCTTTATTCAGATATACGGCACCTGACCTCTGGCATGATAGAGAGTAATTTTTTTCTAATTTCAAGGTACAAATATATGCGCAGCATTCTCGCTACATTGCGATGTTGATGAGAGATCGATCATTAAAGATCTTGCATAAGATATAAGTTACCCTAAACATATAGATGACTATTTAAGAGAGTCATGAAGTGGTGCAACATCTTTCCTGTAGCATAAGCCACCATAATAAGCTATTAATTTATATTAATGCAAAGAATGTAATATAACGGATAATGAGGCAACACTATTGATTACTATATAAATGTCTATATACTCACATATACTGAGAAGACGAACCAGTATGCATTTGAATACGCACTATTGATATTAAAGTAGTTATTTATCGTCGAAGATGATACTATATAAGATTCAGAAACACTTAGAGCAGCTTCGACATGAAGAACAATACTTAAAATCGCTTGTGAAATTACTATATGATTTAATACATTCCCAATCGATCGTTATGATTCAATCGATTTTTTCAGTATCGTGATTTTCTACGTGAATCTTAATGATGTACATTATACATCTCAGGATTATAAAATTTTAACTCTACACGAATCCGACTTCATTTTTTAGTGTACAGATATGGAGGCGCGAGGTAGAGATACATAGTTGTATTATACGTATTATATAAAGTAATTTTGTTTAATACACGTAATTTTTAATTAAAGCTCAAACAGCTTGAATCGCTTTTATTTGTATTATTGTATTAAAATCATTTAATATTTAATGCTTTGCGAAACAAAGAGTAGCGAATTTTACTTACAGAAATTATATTGAGATCATTGTAATAATTTATGCTCTAAAGCAAAATTGAAAGTTAATTGTGAATTTTAGGTACGCAGCTCGTTAAATGGTATGAAATTATAATATGAAGAAAATTGTACATGGGAATGTGTTTTATTTGTAATTTATTAATATTAATTTTCTGTTTTAAGTTATAAATTTCTTATGTTACCAATGCTACATGAACAGATGCATTCCGTATATTCTTGTGAATAAATATTTAACTTATGCATTATTTCATGTAGCTGTAAGTGATTGTGATATGCTGTTAGGTAATAAATGTCATTTGTTATTAAGTTGAGATTCCTACATTAGATTTATGTAAATTAAATGAACGAATATACATATATCGGGAATACAAGGAAAAAGACCTTGGTTTTATATGTTTATCTTTACTATGTGAAAAGTATACGGGGTTAAGTTTTCTTCAAGTTAAAATATCAGCATGTTTTAAATATTATATCTGTGTACTTTTCACACAGTACTTCTGTATTTCCATATAACAGCAAAAAAATTATAATGAATAGAAAATTAATAAAACTATATAAAGAATTGGATCAAATCTCAATTTTTGTTTTACCAGTTTTCCACACAATTATCTGAAAATATATTATATTAAAAAAAAAAAGAAAATAAAGCATTTTAATCGATTCTAAATTCTATAGGTTTTTTGATAATCATAACAATATGATGAGTGACAACAATAAACATTTATTTATTATTCTTTACATTATATTTCTTTGTAACTATCTTTTTAATTTGATACATCTTACATACAACAAAGAAATATTTGATTACATTTTATTGTGACATGATAATTCTCTTGATTTTCTAAAATGTTTTGTTATACAGGGTGTCTCAGAACTTTGGCACACGGGCTCCGTAGGGATATAGAGCTGAGAGGAACAAAAAACTGCCATAATGTGAAAATCGTAATAGTTTTTTAATTAAGGGGGCTGAGCAGTAACGCAGCTCGCGCTGACCGTCGCGCGGCATTAAGGCGCCAAAATGCCCTTACGACAGTCAGCGCGAGACGCGTTATCGCTCAGCTCCTACGCATACAGCTTGCCGCGGAGCGTCTATAGGCCGCGCTGGGCGTAGAAAACGCCTAACTTTATGCTGTTATCATTAAAAAATTATTACGATTTTCACATTATGGTACAGGATTTTTTTGTTCCTCTCACTTAGCTCTATGTCCCTACGGAGCCCGTGTGCCAAAGTTCTGAGACACCTTGTATATAGTTCTGTTAATAACAGAATCTGCATAAGTTATACATGCAATATTTATTTTAAATCATTTTACGTCTGGACATAGATCTGGATAAACATATTTTTAAAGAATGTAGCAGAGTGTATATATATATATATATATATATCTAATCATTGATATAAATTGGTTATATATATATATATATATATATATAACCAATTTATATCAATGATTAGATTATCGCAAATAGATATTCGACAATTCACAATACTATACTATATCATTGCTCTTACTGAGGCGCTACATAACTATTCACTTTGTTGCATTGTTTTATCTTTTCTATGTCAGCATTTGGATATTGTTCTTTTACAGCTTCAAGATCCAAATTCGGGAATTTCCTTAGTAACACTATGACACGATTATTTTCACGACTGAAAGAAGATAAAGAGTTTGTTCCAATAAAATCCACACAAATAAGTTGACTTCATGCAAATAGACTGAAATATATATTAAATAAATAGGTAAAAGTAGTTGCTACACACTTTTTTGCTCTGCGTTTTTCATTCCATATTTTCTCTCTATATAATCGCAGGAACTTCCGAACTGCATATCCACCAAAGCCAAACTGATGTGTTTTGTGCCATTTTGTGTTCATGAATTTTGGAATTGCATATTGACGCATTCGATAATAAAATCTTATACCTAAAACATGATAATAAATAAATAAAGATTTTCCTTGTTTATAACCTGAAATATGTGAAAAAAGATCTCATATTGTACATATAGAATAAATAAATAAATTGTACATACAGAAACAGAACAAGTGGTTTAATAAAAAAAAATTTTATACTTTAGATAAATTGCATCTTACCTAGGCGATTGTAGGTTAATCTTCCAGGTCTCTCTCCAGTTTCACCAGTCTCAAGCAAATGGTAAGCTCTGTTTCTTTCACGGACTATTGTCTCCAAGTTATTCATGCTATCTTGGACCTTGTCTAAGCGCTCTGGATTTGGAAAAATTTCATAAGCTTCCTTATAAGCTTGTTCCATGGTCATAAGCATGTTACGTTCCTTCAATAACACAAACCTATATTTGTTCAAATGTATCAATTTAAGAAATGCAAAAAAGATAAAACCTATATGTGAACAGTTTAGCATAAATCAATGCCTTACCATAATTTGTGAAGATCTGAATTGCTTTTTAATCTTAATTCATCCTTTTTCCAAGACCGACCAACCCTTACTTCATTTTGTCCCCAATGTTTTGGATCATCAAAAAATTCCATTAAGTCACGACGTTCTGGTGTAATATGTATGAATGCACAATGAAGAGATGATGTTCTGCATTAAAAAAAAAATACTTAAATCATTCAAAACTCCAATCTACACTTTTAACATCGTATTTAATGTTAAAAGTACTATATTAGTAGGTTTTATATTAACAATTATTCATATTATACAGTATCAATTATACAGGTTAAAATATAATTATCTTGCGGACAATTTTACAAAGCATTGTACAAAGCATTGTGTTTTTATATTACATATTACATATTACATGACATGCATCTTTGATATGTCTTTAAATTGAAAAAAACATTTCAGAAATTAACACTGATTACAACCGAGTTAAATACATTCAGATAATAACATCGAACTATAAGTAAAACAAACTGAAGAGCGATGTAATACGAACCTGCGACGAAACGCATGTTTAGGAGAAGCGGTAATATTTGGTGTCAAAGATAAATTCGTGAAGAGTTTTGTTACATTATTCACACTCTTCGAAACTTGCATTGCTTTCGTGAGCGTCGCCATTTTTTATTACGAGGTGACCGTTCTGCTTCTGCAGGCAGCGGATTCTGGGTAAATCAGGGCGAACCTGGTTTCTCCGCTTGCCCACTTGTATGCTTGTATATCCGGCCGATAAAACAATATTCAATTTTAGTATACTCAAGGATTTTTCGATATTTTCAAATACAATCCACTGTGTTCTATCGGGATATTAAAAAATAAAAAATTCGACTGAAACGAATAAAAAGTTTATAGATTGAATATAAATTCGTAACAAATCAGGTTGAATGCTTCCAGAACCAATCGACAAGTCAGTCAAAAACTAAATAAAATAACGAGTCTAATAATCCCGTAAACATTTTATTCAACATTTTATTAAACATTTTACTGACTCATTGCACCAGTTCAGCTAAAAACCAGTGCAGCTAAAAAAGAACACAGAAGAGAAACATTGCGTTGTGATTGGTACATTTCCGAAGATGGATGGAAATACACCAATCAGAACGCAGTATTTTCATCCAGCAAGCAATCTAGCACGAAACAAGCACAGTGTGCCGCTGGCTTTAGTTTATAAGGAATACCATTGTAACTAAAACTAAAGCACCGACGAGATAATAGGCCTGTTCGTTTTGTCTGCATTCCTGAACTGGTGCATTAAGTTAAAGTGAGACAAACATAGGTTTTCTCACTTCAACTTGTTGCACCAGTTCAGCAATGCAGACAAAACGAACAGGCCTAATATCAAGGGTCTGTTCTTTATAGCTGCACTGTTGAACTAATACAATAAGTTAGAGTGAGAAAAAATATAGTTGTCTCATTTTAACTTATTGTACTAGTTTAGCAATGCAGCTATAAAAAACAAACCCCAGATAGTATCTCGTCAGTGACCAAAGTTTCCGAAACTGATTTCGGAATAAGCCTAGGTGTGTTCTTTTCAGCAGCACTACTGCTGCTGACCTGATATAATAAGTTGAAGTGAGGAAAATATAGTTATCTCACTCTAACTTATTGCACCAGTTTAACTAGGAGCAACTAAAAAGAACAGATTTACTCCCTCATCTAACCTAACCTAACCTAGCTTTATATTGTAACGGAATTCATGTACTAGGCGCGTGTTTATATTACACACATGTTATACATTATTATTTATCTTAAACATTAGTCGAGAGATAAGATATAAATTGTGACACATTCGTTTATCTCCTTATTTGAAGAAGAACACTTTTACAATATTAAACAAAGATGTTGCGAAGTGTTTTAAAATTAAAATTTGGTTATGACAATTTCAAAAGTGATATTCAGAAACAAGCCACTATTGCAATTGACAGAGGTTTTTACATAAAATTTATTACTTCCAAGATATATGTAGTCGTTTGTGAAAAATATTTATTAGTTAAGAAATATAAGAAGATAAAGAATTGATATGATAAAAATATGATAATTTTAGGGAAACAAGATGTATTTGTATGTATGCCAACTGGTTCTGGAAAGTCTCTCTGTTTTCAACTACCAGCAATAATGAAAGAACAAGTCACAATAGTGTTTTCCCCACTTTTAGCCCTCATGAAGGTATTTTTCAAATATGACATGAGTATAGATTAAGAGTCTTATTTTTCACACTTTCATACATCTTATATATTGGTTTAATTTTCTTTCAGAATCAAATAGATTTTTTAGTGAACAAGAAGATAAATGCATGTTCCTTGAATTCTACTACATCAAGTAAAGAGAGGAGTATGATTATGAAAGATCTTATGTCAAATGCTCCTAAAATCAGATTGTTATATGTCACTCCTGAAATGGGAGCTCAGCCACATTTTCAGGTATTCCTTTGTGATTCACTTAGATTTTCTTAGGTATTATGATATGTCCAGTAAAAATTATCAAACCTTCATTCTTCTTTGATATATTGATATATGATAAATTCAATATACTTTTATAATTTATAGTTTAATTATTTTTACATATATAACATGAACTATAATTTTAAGGCCCAGTTCCACAACTTGCTTTAAACGGAGTTTAAAGCAAGTTGTGGAACTGGGCCTAAGATGTTAATTTTTATGAAAAGTGTTAAAAGTCTCAAAATATTTAATTTGCTCACTATTTTAATTTATAGGAAATTATAACTCACTTGAGAAAAGCAAAAGCACTCTCATATTTTGTTATTGATGAAGCTCATTGTTTAAGTGAATGGGGACATGATTTTCGACCAAGTTATAGACAGCTAGGAGTGTTTAAGAAATTGTGTCCTGATATACCTGTAATTGCATTAACTGCAACTGCTGCAAAGCAGGTATCTCAAAAAATATCAATATTTGTAATTTTATTAATTTTTAAATGTTTTATATGACTTATACTGTTAGATATATTGGCACATATTTTTTACATGTTTTCTTTTTGTTTGAGGTAAAAGATGATATTCTTCAAAATCTGCATATGAAAGATCCCTTAGTATTTTCTCAGCCAGTGTTTCGTCCTAATTTATTTTATGATGTGTGGTTCCTAGAAACATTGGATAAACCATTTGTGCATCTAAAAAATTTTATTTTGGATGCCCTTGGACCTTCAGACAGTTCTATTCCCATGGTGAGTTAAATTTTATCATTGTATGATATAATACTGTATATATATTATTACCATAATATTCATCTAACAGTTCAGTACAGTGTGATATTTTAATAAATATAATACTTTTAGGACAAAAGAAATTGTGGTATTATTTATTGTAGAAAGAAGGAAGCTACTGAAATTGTTGCACACAAACTTAGTCTCTCTGGTATTGCTACGCTTGCGTATCACGGAAGTATGTATGATTTTTATAACAAATTGACAATTGAACTTGTACACAATATGTTATTTTAACATTTGAATAGGCTTGAAAGCTCAAGAACGTAATGAAGTACAGAATAAGTGGACGTCTGGTGAAGTACCCGTTATTGCGGCTACATGCAGTTTTGGAATGGGTGTTGATAAGGGACCCGTCAGGTAATTGTTGCACAATGCTTGTTACAGAAACATAAGAAAACGATATTAGAAAGAAATAAACATATCTTTATAATCTATATATTTTGCAGATTTGTAGTTCATTGGACGGTGCCGCAAAATATCGCAGCATATTATCAAGAATCAGGAAGAGCTGGCAGAGATGGTAATTCGGCATTTTGCAGGGTTTATTTTAGTAATGAAGAGTTTGGGCCAATTTCGTTTCTCATTAAGGAGGAAATCACAGGAAAGAAAACTGAGCTCGTGAAAATTAAGTGGGCGAATTTTGAGAAGAGCGTTGCATATTGTTTGGAACCAAAGTATGTTCAATAAATATCACAGTCAAATATTTTCCCTCTAAATATTCAGATAATTATGTTCACATGCCACATTAGGTGCCGACATGCAGTGTTTTCCAAGTATTTTGGAGATTCTCCACCACTGTGTAAGAATAGATGCGACGTGTGTAAAAATAAGGATGAAGTGCAAGCAAGGATTTCACAGTTTGAAATGTGTCAGACGAGATCTCGAAAACCCAGAGGCAATTTGGGTGGTGTAATGCGAGCAAACCACGATGACGATGAGTATGAAGAAAAATTATTCCATTAGAAACTTGAATATATTTTATGTGTTTTAAAATAATTATCATAAAATGATTATTATAAATTATGCTACTTTGTACAGTTGTAACAATATGTTTGTCGAGTCGGAAGAGCCAAGAGAGAAAATAATAGCGGCTGAAAAACGAGAAGCTAAAGAACTTATTATGCAGCAGTTTGCTCTCCGACGTGGTACATCACAGGAGGACGAGGTAAATTTATTATAAGCAAATTTTCTCATTTACTTCTGCGTTTACATTTTATTTCCTCTAGATAAGACGTCAGAACATCGAAAATGCAAAAAAAGCACACGTTCGTGCAGCCAGTAGCACAGATAGAAAAATAAAGGGCTTAACTGTTCAGGCAAGACGTTATGCTATTTTAATAATAATATTGAAATTACTCTTGAGTATGCGATCGATGATAGTCTCATTATTTTCGTGCAATCGTGCATTATTTTTAGATGCGGGAACATCTTTACAATGAATTAAAGGCGACTTTGTGCGAAAATTACCAACATTCATGTTTTGAAGTTAACAAACAACTTCAGGAGAAAGATATGCACGATATGACTAGTAATTTGGAATATAAAATATTTTCTAATACCAAAGTACCAAACAAATACAAATTTGATATGTCCAAATTGGTACGTATTACTTTCTGTAGACATACACAGCCTTCAGATGTAGATAACTTTAAAAAAGAACTTTTCCAAAGTTGGGACATTTCGAGCACGAAAGTATAAATTATTTGAAAATATTAGTTACTATTTTATACAAAATTAACGCAGAAAATTATATTTATATATTTAAATTTTTGTGCAATAAATTTTTTTATTTTACTTATTACTCATACACAGATTTCGTCGGTACGAAAATGCACCAATAGTAATACCGTATATGAAGCAATACGTGATTATAACTGTACTGAGTCTCATAATGTAGAACTTAATGATTCTAACATTGGCGATATATCCAATATCATTCAAGAATCGGATACAGCCGAAGTTGAATCTAATAGTAATGGTTGCCTGTCGAATGAAGTTAATAAAAGTACTTTTACCTCTGCTTTCAAAACTGCATTAGAAATTAGAAACGAGGAAAGGTTACAAACATCTGTAAACAAAAGTGAAACGATTCGACCTACGAAATCGCTGGTTAAAGATGTTATCGTTAATCCAATAAAAAACCAAATATCTGTTACCAATGATTCCAGTAATGTACAAGAAAGTACATATAAAGACAATGTACCACAGATGCAGATATCGAACAGTTTCGTTTGCATGCGAAAAATTTATGAAAGCAATACATATTTATCTAAACCAGGTACAAGTTCCTCGAGATCAAAAACCCGTAAGAGTAAGATAGATAAGAGTACAAAAAAAGCGGGTAAGTCCGTTTACGAGCAAATTTTAGCTTCAGCGCGATCGCCCTTTAAGACTACAAACGAGAGTTCGAATTTACTCGTAACAGAATCAAAAGCTTTTGACAATATCGTCGAGTCTGTTAAAAATAAAGACAAGAGTATTGAGGGTAAAGATAAAAATAAAAGATGTCGCGAATCTATCGAGCGTCAGGAAGACGACGTGCAAACAGTAAAGAAAAAACGAATCAGACATAGAGACGATAAGAGTAATAATTATACATCCGATAAAAATACCACAGGTGATAAAATTGACGAAGAAGTCGTTAGAAACGACGTACATACAATTATTAACATTGATGTCACAAATCAAGATTCTTTGGTAATGAAAAAAGACAAAATAAAAATAAGGCAACACAATGAGAGTTCAGGAACTAATACAGAATTAAAGAGAAACAAAGAATCTACCCAATCGACTCATTCGAAACATCACACAGGCAAAAGTAATAGTAGATTAAAAGTGCCGGCAGACAAGGCTATGCAGTTTAAAACAGCGGAAATTTTGAAGTCGTACCTGATGAAATATTACCCATCAGAGCGTCTTCCAGATAGAGCAACGTTCTCAAAAACTTGTCGAGAAATGCACTACAATATGCTGAAGAAGAAAATATTCGGTGAGACAGTTTCTTAAGACCTTACGTTTAATATTATTATACAGGGTGTCTTATAACTAATCTGGCAGAGCTCGTGGAGGCATAAAAATAACGTGTCAAAATAACACACTCGGATTTGCGTTGTATCGCGATTATACCTAGGAATCAATTTTATGCCGAGTATCATTGGTGCACCATTGACAACGATGGTCTTCTTTTCACAATTGTACGATACAGAACTTTCAGTTCCTTCTGTCGTTAATATACCACTGACAAGAATTACGATATAAGACAACAATTTATGCATGATATATGGTAAAAATGTTTGGTCCATGATACAGCTTGCAAATGAAATATGAACGATACAGAGAAATATTAACTGAAAATATTAACACTGAATCTAATTCATCAAGGTTTATGGTTAACTTAAACAAAATTGTGCTTTTTTCAATCAAAATTTCTTAATCGTTCTCTCTCTCTCTCTCTCTCTCTCTCTCTCCCTCTCTCTCTCTCTCTCTCCCTCCCTCCCCCTCTCCCTCCCCCTCCCCTCTCTCTCTCTCTCTCTCTCTCTCTCTCTCTCTCTCTCTCTCTCTCTCTCTCTCATTTCGTCAGAAAATGGGTTCATTCAACCAAACATATTTTCCGTGTAGACTTGAATAAAACAATAGGACACGATGAGTCTCTACGCGAATTCTATCATACTCTAACAATTAAATATTCTCCTAACGATAGAGTACAATAGAGTACGATGAAAAGTGTTCATCGTACTCTATCTTTACGCGATATCATTTCTTTCGGATCCGATGCAGCGAAACGATAGATTGCGATAGAAAAGGATGAGAATCTCTGTAGATCTCATCGCTCTCTATCGCTTTCTCCTTTTCGATGTTTTCCTTGATCAAAGAACTTTTGAATCTTGAACTTTACAATTCAATATGAGCTATCTGTGGTACCTCATAAAATAATCTCATAATTGTAATCGCGAATATTCAGCGGCCATATCGGCGCGAGCTTAGACGCGGTGCGGCGGGATGTAGGAGCGGCGAGGTAAGGACATAAACATTGGCGCGTCGTCCTTCCTCTCGCCGCGCGCCGGCAACAGTTCCTTTGTCGACTGGGCAGTGCTCTTTAGCCTGAGCGGCTAGATGCTCCTCCCATAACGTCTCGACGTGCACTCATTCCTCAGATTTCTGTCATTAATAACTCGATAATTATTGCGAATCTCACAAAACGATATGGGACTTTTATATTTGTCTCAACCCGCTCTATGTCTCCACGAGCTCTGCCAGATTAGTTATAAGACACCCTGTATAGGATATCAATTAACGGATACTAGAAAAAAGAGTCTTTCAAAATACGAATGATGTTCTATTTCCAGATAAGGAAGGGATACATGATTTTGTTGTCAAATTTATGACCCAAACCTGAAGAGTTATTTTATTTCAAATTCAATCTACTTTCTTGTCTACTTTGGTCCACCGAACAACGAGAGAAACACTCAAAGCAATCAGTTCAATTGTGAATAAATTTTCTTTTGTACTTATACAGTTTTTAATGTATTTATAATATTATTGTACCTACAACTGTGTCTATAATTTAATACTATGTATAATAATCGTTATATCATTGTAATTATGGAAGAAAAATAAATTTGCTGTATATCGATGCATTATATTGTTATAACTTTTTTTATTATTTTGACTTTCTTCCCATGTACTACAAATTTTTCATAAAGTCTATTACATTATCACATTTTGCAAATATAAAAAAATGTTTTCTAGATTTATGTAATATATGAATATATATATATATATATACATACATGAATGATATAACAAATGTACCCATATTTCTAAGTGTCATATGCGTGTTGTAAATGATCTACATTATTACATTATGCTAATTAACATAATTTATAAAATTATATGTATGCGCGCGCATATATGTATATTTATTTGTGTATGTAATTAAAATTAATATTAAATGTATGTTTAATTTAAGATTTTCTTAATTAGTATCGCACAATATAATATATAAATACGGCAAGATGGATTGAAAGCAAAAAATGTCACATTGAGCTCTATCAATTATATCCATATACTTATTTATATAAACAACATATAAAATTGTAATCACTATTTTATTAAAATAGTATGCAATTTCCTTGATTTTTATTAAAACTAATGTAAAATCTATGAAGAGATTATTTCCATTTCTACGAAAGATAAACAGCTACTTATCTATATCAATATTACTTCTCTGCAGTTATTTACTAATCTATTATTTACATATTTACAGAGAAGCAATGCGAAATAAACGTAACAATGCAGACTACAAACGTATTACTCTATATGGAATGAAGTGCAATTGCTTTTGTTGCAACGTGACGATTATTATTGTCGATAATTTGTGAAATTATATTTCTAAATATACATACTAAATAGACATACACATAGAGAGATCGTAAATTTAATATATTTTAATTAAAATTTGAGCTTGATAAAATCGACATGAGTATGCATTTCTATCTTTATCTTAAATATATATTTATATCATTATTTTTGTTTAACAGGTTTCAATACTATTCCTGGATTAGATGATAAAAAGAGCAATGAACCGGCAACAGATATGGCATGTGATTTAATATGTAGCAATTGGCGTTCATTCAACAATAATGCGCTTCAAATGTCGGTTTCTCAATATTTAACACGCACACATATGAGATGTACTCTTGTAAGTATATTTTTATAAAAGATGCTTGCAATTATTTCGAGATTAATGTATTTTGTTTCTGTAAAAAGTAGATTTATTCCTGATAATTATTTGATGATTAGTTGGTCGATTTTCTTTTTTCATATTGTTCAACAAATTACCAGTTCTCTTATTGCCACAATTGTAATACATATTGTCTCTGTTTCGTGTTGAACGCAATTGCTATTTTACTATTTCCGACATAATAGTTGACTCTATCATTACTGATTTATAAGCATCAGTCTGAGTATAATAAATCAATAAAGTTCTTCATTAGAGGAAAAATTTACTTAATTTTTATTAATTTCCTTATTATAGAGTTTAACGTCAAGCTAAATTGAAAAAGAATTTGTTTAAAGATCGATCAAATCTCTCGTAACTTTCCTGAATATCTTTTTTAGAAAAAGAAATATGTAGCAATATAATGTGTGGCTATGTTGTAATATACTATTATAATATACAATACTGCATCTCCTACTATATATCTTATTCATACTGGCAATATTGACAAAATATAGTCGAATGTAAATAGAAAATGCCATTATAACATACTATCTAGTGAACATCAACTAATAATAACATTACATCAATGTTATAATTTCTCACTATATAACTGTTGTGTACAACAGTTATGTACAATATGAGTTTCATTATACATTTATATTGTTCTCTTCTCCCTCCTGCTCCTCTGTCTTTTTCTCTGTCTGAGTGGTAAATTATAATATTGATGTTATTATTAGTTAGTGTTTAGTCTTAGTGGGTAAAAATCCACATCGACTATGTTTTGAAGATTCCAGTCTGTTCATTTTTGTACAGGATCGTTTAACGTACCGTGATTCCGCTCGTCAAAATCCATGAATTTTTGTCACATTTACGTTTGGTATCACGGCTTTATCACTAAATTATTACACTATTATTGGCATGGGATTCGAATCATTAGACACTAGCGGCGAACTGCACGTATCCATTTCTCGTGATTTCAGGTCGGCTTGTCTATCGTTTTGGGTCCGTGCTCTTATCGCCATTTTCTTTTCCAGCCAATATATCGACGATCTCTTTTCCTGATGAGACAAAATTTTCACAATGCTCCAAATGAGGAACATCACGCCGGAGAAGAAAAGCAGGTACATCATTACAATCTCCATGGTAGGCAGGACATTCAGATACAACAAAAAGCGCGTGTTTAGACTATCCGGCAATCCGTACATTCCCTGAGAAGACAAGCTTTTTTTATTGTAAATTCGATTGTAATATCGATGTGATTACGATAATGCTTCTACTTTACTTACGATTTCGAACCACAACAGTGGGAGCACGAAATTGGCAAGTTTTTCTACTCTGGCTATATGCTCAATATTTTGTAATACCATATTGATTTGAAAGCGAGACGCCAGGGATGTGGGTAATCCAGATGTGGGTTCAATGAAGAAATAGGACTCATGTAATTCCTTCTTAGGTTCCAGACCTTCGAGGGACGCCAAAATCGATGGATCAGCTTTGTAGAAATGCGGGTACGACAAGGCGATCGGGAAACCTGCGAAAAATTGGAGAGATTTTCCGTTAAAGCAAATCTTCTACTTCCAGATAGCCTTACAAAAATAACACAACAGAAACATAAAATCATAATATAAAGCGTAGCCGTTAATAGGCTCGCGATTCTTGCAAGATATATCTGTCGTTTTTATTATTGCACAGTGAGCTTAGCTATGCTAGGCATTGCGCGCACATAGTTTCTTAGTCTTTAAGATGTAATTGATGTGACATCATGCTATTATTTCGTTTTGAATGTATAAATTAATTAATGTATTGCTAGCTCTCGGCCTCTTATTGTGTAAGCCAGCATAAATATACATTATGATCGGGGAATCACTGCATTACATTAAAGTTTTTAATATTGCTGATTTTTATACCAGGACTTATATCAAATATTCCAGATATATTCGTGGAAACAAAAAAGACTTAAACTATAATTTACTGCTAATCAACCGTTTAAGCGTATTGATTAGCTAGAAATAAACGTTATTACTTTCCTATTCTACGTATCTCGAATCAAATCGCAGATTTTTTGCGATCGAGGTAATTTCATGACGCGATTATAGGTAGAAGAAGTTGAGTGGTTACAACGAATGTATAAACAGTATGCGGCTTCATAACGCAAATAAAAAAAAAATTTGTATTTTTGTAAGTATAATTATATATTTAATGACAAAGTGATCGAGACACTTTTCATCTAACGATTTATATAAATTTGAGATGAATATTCCTATTTTTATTATAATTTAGAATTATTTTTATATAATAATAATTTTTATAATTTTTATTGTAAAATAATAATTATTATTATTATTGTTATAAGTTTGTACAGATCGACTTGTTATGTATTCTTGACTTCTGGAACTAAATAATGGAAAAGAACTAAATAATTAATTAATTGTCATGTACATGTCTTACCGTAATAACAATCGGTCACGTCAATTAAACCGGATTTCAAGCAGGTGCCTTGACGACAGAAACATTTATTTTCTGGATTTACTGCACCATTATCTAATTCATTCTCCATGAATGTGTAATGATATGAATATAAGCTTTTCACCGTCTTCTCACCAACTCGTACCTTTAGAAGGATTAAGGGATGTTAGATTATATAATATTATATATGTGTGTGAGTGATGTGTTAGACATTTCTATTAAATTATCATTAGAAATCTAAACGTTAAATGTCGAAATTTCCCGAGACGTAGAATTGTTTAAAGGCTACTCCTTTCGTAAGAACAATTTACAAGCGTTCAGCACAAGTAGAAAGTTAATATCAGACAAACTATTTGCAGACGAATCGCATGACTCGGCTGAAAACTCTCGAGAAGACGATTTGCTCGAAGTAGATTGCGATAACTGAAATTACCATCCGTGCACTTCGACAGAGGCTCTTGCGAAAGAAGAGGAGCGTGTCATTCGGTTGGATGAAACCTTGAAACTTGGTGCCGTCGCTCGCGCCATGTACATTTGCGCATTTACCAGTCCACTGCGGTAGGTTAACGTCTCCGTTGTACTTCTCGATCAAGCCCGTCATTCGGATATCGGTCTCTCCCGTGTAAATGGTTTCGTAGTCACCGTCGAAATCGTACATCTGTCGAATATAACAAACACAACATTTATCTAGACTTCTTCTCTAGATAAACATATCGATAAATTACAGTTATTTATAGTCTGTGGCTTTAATTAACATACTCAGAGTAAAAATACTAGAGCAAAAATACTTTCTGCTTAAAATGTACCCGGAATTGCTCATTTAAATGAAGCGCGCTTATGATATTTCAGAATCCTTTTGTAGTTAAGTCGGTATTTGCATTGTATTTTCATGCAGAATTAAAGCCGATTGTTTGTCGATTAGTTTGTTCGTGACAACTGTAGTTTGTGAAAAAATCAGTTCTTACTCTGTCGATTAATCCCAGCTTATCGAATTTGATCCAGGAAGGCATTATGTGATAGCCAAGGGTAACCAGAGTTGATTTGTAGCCGAACATGAATTCATGCGCAGTCATTCGTACCAGAGGATGAGAATCTGTTTGCCGGATCAGCATGTTTAGCCCCCACCTGGTTACGTACGATGCATCTTTCATGACATTTGCAATGCTCTGTAACGATAAGCGAACAGCATGTTATTATCCAGTTGAGTGTAAGATAAATTGGCGATTAAGCTATTATACCTAACCAAAATGCAATAATTTAATAATGTATTATCAGCGTTATATAATTTATGTAATTGTCACTTCGTAGACTATTCGCGTGCTGTAGACTATCATTTGAGGTCAAGTTGCTGACCCTGCTTGTTTTCTTAATTGCGATTGTGTCGTTGTCGAGCAACGATATATGCGCGATGGACTTAATATTTTATGAGTCAATTACTTGATAAAGTTTGAAAAAAAATAGAAAAGAATTCATAGACGATATGAATTCATATTATATCAAATGATTTAGTGTACTTTGTAAGAACCACTTTTGTTATAACGTAATGATAAATACTTGTAGTTAAACGTTGACTTTAATTTAATAACACTTCTACTTCTCTAATAGTGTCCAGATGTCATTGAACGCGCGTGAGAATTTTTCTTTTTTTTTTAAATAGGAAGAAACGATCCAATGTATGTAATGAACACCATTGTTGGACATGAGTTTATCATTATTGTCATTACGCAGAAGTCACTTGTCGTGTATAAATGTAACATATCAGTACTCTTCAATAAAGAAAAGAATGAATGTGTCCATACATCACATCAGTGCTGTCTTGTCACAATGCTGCTCATCAAATTAATTGCGACATATCAGTATTATTTAACAAAGGGAAGAATGAAACTTCAGATGTTCTTTTCCCGCTGGTGATTGCCAGGGTCGTCGACTTTGCTGATAATCCGTAACAATAATGACATTTGTAGTAACATCGCCAAGATGTTATTAAAGACCGATGTCATTACCAGACTTTATGTCATTGTCAATATTTAGACAGTTAATTTGTAAATGCGACACTTTATAGTTTTATAATTTACTATTATCTATATGTTATATGAAAAACATCTACATACATATTTATGGCGTAATAATATTATTAATAATATTATATGTCTTTAGTAAAATTGAATTTTTATAGTTATCTTTATAGAGATAATGCAATCGAAGTAGATTCAACATTTTCGCGCGCGAAAAATCCACTTTCCACATGTAGAAAGATGATCGAACGTTGAAAGTTCGAAGTTTCGCGAAAACTTGCGGTATCCTCCTTTTTTTGTATTTTTACAGATTCATAACTTCTCGTGATTGATGGTTTGAAGCGTCGAGTATGTAACGATATTTCGAGAGATCGCAAATGTAATGATGGTAACGTGCTTATACACAATTCGGATTCAGAGCTGTTACGTATCTCTCGTCATTTCAATCGACCAAAGGTGAATCTTATGCGTGAATTATTGTTGTCAGAAATGTCGAAAGCAAGTTTCTTGTGTGTGTCGTGACAAATCATCGTCAGATTAGTCGTTGGGAACGAAAATCTGGCAGAACGGGCAATCATTGATCGAACAATATCGATCGTTCGGCGCGTTGCGGTTAGGCGTTGTCGTTTAGATTTTTAATCGATCAAAAATTGATCTTGTATGTTGCAAATTATTATCGAGAATGTCGAAATTAATCATTCTGCGCTCATATCATAGCAAAGTATTGTTAAATAGTTTCAAAGGTGAATATTCCAAAACGACTCATTGGGTATGTCGAGTGAAGTTTGCCACGTTCGATATCTCAACTATCGATTCGCGACTGTTGCGACTCTGGCGCGTCGATCCCGCTCGAGAAACCATTCCGCGATTCCGGTTCGTCGAAGGTGAGTCTCAATGCGAATTATCATCGGAAATTCCGAAGGTAACTATCGTGAGTGTATCATGGCGAGAGAATTGGCGAGTCTCTATTATAATTACCATCCGGAATGCTGAGAACAAGTATATCGCGCGAATATCGTGACGCAATATCGTCTCACATAGTCTCAAAAGTGAATATTCTGGAACGAACGGATTATCGGGAATGCCGGATGAAATCGTGACGTTCAATATTTAAAGAATTGCTATCATTAATAACACGTTAGTTCGTGTTTGAAAAATAATTTCGGTATTTCAGATCAGCAGAGAAGATCTTCATGCTTCGTGAGATTATCGTCGTTGGAAATGCTGAAAGTCACATTTGTTGTGACGATTTACGATTATCGTAAATGAGCATGTCGCTAAGTAACCTGCTGAGAACGCCGAGTAATCCAACGGACGTCGCATTTGTAGGATTTTGCAGTTCGAATCGTCGAGTTCTACGTGGCAAGTTTTGACCAGCCAATGGGAAGGTCAGTGAGTACCTGTTGATTGAGCAGAGGTTGCAACAGATAGCGCAGCCGATAGTTTCACATGGAGCTTCGAACGTTCCATGTATAAATTTAAATCGGGTATGCATCAGCTGATTTCCGGAGAATATCAGGAGAAGATCGCACAGCTTGTAATTAAGATAAAGGCGATGTATAAACACATGAAATGTCTTGTTGTATTCTTGAAATTTAAGGGTAAGTAGCAAGTTCTCTTTTACACGATATGTCAATAATCGTCTCTCATGTCTATTGTAAAGTTTTCATTTCTTTCGAATAATGAGATATTCGTAGGAAGCATCGTAGATAAAATAACGAAGAATAGACTGGCCGTTCAGTTATATTTATATCGGATAGCAGTCGGTAATGCAATTTGTACATCATCATAGAACTTTACCCGTAAACTATTTTTAACAGTTTTTCGCCGGTAATGTTATCGAGAACGCCAGTATAATTCAATTGTTAGCTGCAAGCTATCAAAGAAATGATCCTTTTAGACGCTTTCTCTCGTGCGACCTTTTCCAGATAAACAGATAAGATGGCGTTTATGGCTGTCTACTACTCTCAGCTGAAGGCTTTATGATTTGTGCCCACGGAGCGTGCGTTGCTCAAGCGGATTCCACGCGAATCACGGTTCGTTGCATTTTAAGCGTACTGAATAAATAACGATTTAAATTTAAAGTTTATATCCTATTTGTTCGTAACTACAATATTTCAATATTTCAGTGCAATTAACGTGGTTGCCGTCACAGATGGATTTATGTTCGTGCAGAACGCAATTGCGATACACTTCTCCTATTGTGATTAATCTCGCAATGGAATTTTTATAGAATCTAGAATTTAATTAAAGTACAAATATCGCAATTGCATTTATCATGCAATTGCATTTAATGAACTTTTAAATGGACTTTGAAGTAATTACGATTAAGTACACTTTATTGTCATTTACGATAATAAGTCTTTACTATTTTTTTTAATTAAAATAATTTATATTTTATGAATCATTTTTTAATCTTATTTTAATTTTCCAAAATTAATTTCTCGAAAGAATGTATGTCAGCAAAATGTATATTTTGTATTTGGTTTCACGATAAAATATTTATCTAAGCGCTATTTACCAGGAAAACATTACATGCGTTATTCGAGGAACAAAATTAAGTGTTACAGAGGGATAGGTATCTTTTCTTTCTAAAGGATGTAGTTTCTGTTATGTAAGGATGGGATGTGTCACCAATAAGTTTGTGTAAAAAAAAATTCCTCCGCGAATAAATACGCGAATATAGCTTCAAGGAGAATCCTCAAGAGTGTTGCAAAATTAATCATAATCGATAGTTAGTTGTTGAAATTTACGAAGTATTAGCTCGTATCGGATAAATTAAATGCTACAGAAATGTCAGAGAAACCAGGATTTTCGATAACTTTAATTTACTTTAACTATACCGACGCGCGTTTTAATGTCGATTCAGGATCAGCTGATGCAAATGGTTGCCGTAATAGAGTCGATGAGTGAATTTCGCATTTTCACATGTCGCAATGTCTACATGTCTTTCACGTCATTAACAACAATCGTAGTGTTTTAATATTTATCTTTTATCTACTGTTTTCGTCAGTATTGTAATATTTTATATTCCGCTGTGTATAGAAATTATTTGTTTGATAAGTTATTTATTTAAGAAATTATGTAACAGACTCTTCATGGTTGAACGTAACAACTCATAATATTATAGATGTATGCTCATTAAACAATTATTAACGAGTTGAGCGTTGACATTGACAGAACATTTAATCGTTTTTGTTTTATTGTGTACGCAGATAATAAGCGTGATGAGGCAGATCTTTTTTATTAATTTCTAGGTCTGCATTAATTATTACACATCCAGTCACGTGCTATTAATATGCAAATCGTGCTTCGTTAAATAATATACTCATACGTCATATTCTTTTCATCATACAAATTATATCCTTGATCAGTCTGATTTATCCTGATATCTATTCTGATAAAAACTCAAATTCTCCGTTATATTGATTTTTATCCCATCTTAATGCTTTTATCGTCACGTTTTACTCAGTCTATATTACATACACACGATATGGAATTACGTCCGATAAAATTTCGCGAATCCTGACGAGTGTGAGATTCAAAATTAGTAAAGTTAAACGTGTCGTGAATAACGAAGCGATATGTATTCTGCAATTATTACATCATTCTCGATAAACAGATATTTCTTCTCGCTGGAAATTTTCGCATAACGACAATATGGAAAATTTCGCTTGATTACGTCTCATTACTAGACGTGACTTGATTATTATATAGTTTTTACTCACAATTATCTGGTTTTACTATGCAATTAGTATGTCAATAATGACAGACTGTATACGAAAGCTACAAAATACGTCATCTTCATTTTTATCTTCGCGATTCTACAAGTTTTTGAGTTTTTCTCTTTTTTTTTATTTAAACCACGATGAAATATAATAAGAGCCGCCGCGTGAAGGAGCTCCTTTGCATTGGGTGTCACAATATTGGTAGAGCGTTGGCCGTTAGTCCTTGCAAAGTCAACGGCTGATTTATCTCGTCTTACTCTACATATTCGCGGCACGATTCATCTCGGACAATGTTAAACATCACGGTCTTTATATGTTCATAACAACGTGATTGATTATATCTGTATTATAACAAGGGCGACTTTTTGTCTCGAGACGATGGATCGTACGTGAAACGATGTCATGGCAAGTCAGTGTCATACTAATGAACTTCACCGTATTATATGTCGTATGGTGATAATTATAATTTTTTATTATTTAATTATTACTTTTAATAAGTCGAACCGAGCTAGACGCGCGAGCGATTCATATAGCAAGATGCACAGAAGGATAGAGAAATAAAATTAGATTCCTCGAGAGTACGATTCCTCGATGGAAATCCGACTCTTCTTATCTTTAACCTTCCATTTTTCAAATTGACACGTTTATTGTATTTCAGGATCGAGTATTGTAGCACAAACATGCTTGTTGATTGTCCAAAACGTGTACGCATCTAACGTGTCATGTCAACCGTGTCTGAGGAGACGATTTTTCACAGAAATTCCGTTGCGTATCGTCTCGCCATTTGTATGTAATTACGCAAAAATAAGATTTATTACTTACGAGCAATGCTATGTTCGGCAATATCAGAATGTCCTGTTCTGAGCCATTGCTCAATTCCGGCATGTATTGCAGTGGATGAAGTGGTACCGCTGTTAACGTGCCATTATCGTTGAAGACTATATCCGTGTGCTCCAGCAATTCTCTGTCAAATGCGATGTTGTTAATATTTTTCATTGTATGCGCCTAATTAGCGGGACTATATTTAAGTTTTTTTTCTGCCGCTTCTTACATTCTCGAAATATATTTGCAATCGAATACGTCGTCACGCAGCTAATGTCGCGTATAAAAGGAAAAGTATGTTGTCGCCAAGAGACACGTCGAAGATGAAGAAGATAGGAGAGAAAATCTTACCGCCAATGTTTATGGATCGAGCAGTTTCAATTCTGATATTTTTACATACAGTTAAATTTCGAGCCGAAGGACAAGTATAAATTTTCACGCGCGACACGCATGTATATATTTCGAAGTTGAATATAACCAGTTTTACCATCTTGTCTCGACACTTCCTCCTTTTTAATATTAACCTGTTCGCCATCTCGTTTCGTCGCTGTTAATAATTTACGAGGCACTCGTTGAAGCGAATTTTATCCTCGAGTTTGTCGGCTAATAACAATAATCGAGGGCTTGAAATATTTCAAGTACGAGACTTCAAGCGTTTGATAGTGCGTATACAACGAAATTTAATGCGAATATGCATCGTGCGGAAACAGTCGATGAGAACAAAGAATGCGATCGAGAGAGAGAGAGAGAGAGAGAAAGAGAGAGAGAGAGAGAGAGAGCAACCGGTGGCAACCGACGAAGGAAGTGGATGCGAGGCAGAAGAAAACCTGTATGTGCCTTCGAAGGTCAAGTGTATGTACGTGCTTCGATATGCGGGATTCGTGTAAACTAGATCGCCGTCGGCTTAAAATAATGATTATTTATGCGATGGCTCACATGTACATTCTTGAAACGTTATTAACGACCATACCGTCACGAACGGTTCCGTTTTCCATAATTATTGTTTATCTCGTTGCGCGAGAACGTAATATAATTCCACTGGGATCTAAATTGGGATGCGATTAATTGCTCGGTCTGCTCCTTTTTGCGCGCGATACATTTTTTTATGCATATTTTCGTCTCAGTGATGAGTACTGATGATGTATAATCAGATGTACACCATCGCTAACGTGTTATGTTAAAAGAGTCGTGTTTGTGAGTTTTTCACCGGTAACACGTTTCATACCTCTAAGTAAGTTTCTTTTTTTTGCAAAAGTCATGTACGTTACGTAATTGTACTACAGACGTTTAAGAAGCATGAGGATCTCCCTGAGGTAAACTGGAAAGAAGTTGTTAAACTCGGATTCCTTCCGCGTTAGACAATTAGCAAGGTTACCGTAAAATGCACGAAGAGCCAAGGCTTAATTAAAAAGCTACATAAAAATTAATAAGATACGGCCTCGTGCACATCTATCCGCGATGCAGTCTTTGATTCGAGAATAAAGAAGAGGAAGGTATGAGTAACTGTACTTGGTTATCCTACTTACTTGTACACGTAAGGTCCAGTTTCCTGGAATCGTAGCTTGCTGTCCCGACCTTGCAAGTACTCGTCGTGATTTGTTACGTTGAACAGGTAAATCTTCACGTAGAGATCGACTTCGGGGTTCCGCCACGCCTCGAAGATCTCGCCGCCCTCGCCGAACGTTATTTTCCACTTGAACAAGAGTTCGTACGGTCGGCATAGCAGCACGAAGCAACCGGACGCAAGGCCAAGCAAGCCCAGAGTCATCAGCATGAAAACATCTGCGAGCACGAAGAGGAAAGGGCGTTAATCAACGCGCGCGTAATCGGTGAATTTGCGGTGAAATTGTAGCGAAGCGACCGTAAAAAGACATGTACATTACTGAAGATCGAGAAGATACCTCTGATCAGTGATATTTCTTACAAGCTTGCTCCCATGATGTTATTTCTTGCCTCGCTTCTCTGCCATTTTGTACCGTTGTTGTTCTCTATACAAGTTCTACATATCGAAATAATCTCTTCCTTTTCGCGTGTGCTCATGTGTGTGTGTGTGTGTGTGTGTGTGTGTGTGTAACGACTTCAAGGAAAGAATCGACATTTGTTTCTTCATATCGCGGATATTTAATTTCTTTCCAGCTACTCCGATTGCGCTTGCATATTTTATTATTTATTGTCGGAGAGTTATACACACGTGCGTGTTTCGTTGAATTTTCATGAAGAACAGCCGATTGCAGATTCGTCAAGGAGGATAGAAACTGGACGTATAATTGTTGCGCGATATAACTAACTCGGCAAGTAATTATGAGATTTGGCTAATCGAAGTACGATTCACTCGGCGTAAACACATAAGCGCGCGCTCGCGCGCAACTCTACCGGTTTTCTCAGTGTTTTTCTATCTTATTAAATTTACCACTTCATCATCGTTGACCTCAGTTTCATTAGTTTCGCGAAAGAGATTAGATAAAGTTATGCGACCGTTGAAGTAACTTTCACAGACGTTTCGTAATTTGTAATCGCCGAGAAATCCCCTGCTTTTCTTTGACCGATAAAGAGCGGCATTGTAACTCCCGCGGCGGGTATTACTGCGATTGGAATTACAATGGAGGGGTCAAGAGTGAACAGTGCTCCGATCTCTCGATGCTTGTTTGATGCGCATCACGGTCCGTTCAATAATTTGCCGCGAGGATGAGGAACGGTACTTTTCATCGTTGATTCGATGAATCAAGCAGTCACGCGCTGCAACTGCATCAAACTTTTTGCAAACTTGCATTTGGCGCGACGTCGATTTATCGATCTTTCGCATGACAAATTAGAGTCGATGCGATGTAATTATAAAAAATTATGAAGAGGTACAAACATATCATACGGATATCAATATTTATACGTATTCGTTTTATATAAAAATTCCCGAGAACACGCGGATCTTTAATATATGTATATAGAAGAAGACATAAAATATTTGAATATCGTCAGAGAAATTTTAAAGTTGAAAATTACAAAAAATAATCATATAAGAAGAAAGCGGAATAAGAATCATCTGAGGAAAATTGTTTTTGTAATGCAGTAGAAAAAGTTATCATCACGAAATATTTTCCAATTTCATTTCGAAAAATATTCCTTAATGCTACCCAATATATTCGCTTGCTCATTTCAGAATTGAGGGTGTGTGTCGCGCGTGCGTTGCATGTTTCATGACACAAATCCTTGAAAAAATTTATTGCACTCACATTCTGCAGATTTACGCATTATTTTGTTATACTATCATACGCTTGATTCTGTTTCGGGAGAGTGATTTGAAGAAAAACCTTGGATCTTTTAAATTAAAAGCGAAGACTTCTCATTCTGCTTCCGTTATCGTCACATGTTGAGGAGGAACTGTTAGTCTTCATCTTCCGTTTGAATCACTCAAGTTCTTTAATATGCTGCCACCGTCATCAAGTTTAATACGCGCATGCACATAGTTTGTTTGTTCGCATGACTTCCTGCTTTAAATGTTGCATAGAGATTACTTCGTTTTTGCAGCGCCATACATGTCTCCCAAAAGATTTTTGCTTCCTGCTTTTCTGACTTTACGATTACGGTGTTCTTTTATTTGCTTAAACTACAATTACAATGTTATAAAAGTAAAAGTAAATTATCTAACGTAATATTATGATGTTATAAAAGTAAATCATCTAATGTAATATATATATATATATATACTTTTTTACTCCAATGTATCAAAGATATTCTGAATTAACAATTAATTGGAAACGACGTGACGTTGTTATTATTATTATAGCGCGCTTCAAGCGTGCGGAAACGCTATCCTCGTGAGCTAGGTAAAATAGGATCTAAAAAGTTTATACCGGAGAATTTCCCATGAAGCGCAATGCGGTAGTAACGGAATATCGAGTGAAACGTTGCGACTTTTTGCATTTTTCGTGCACTGATTTCTCGATACGATATCGCTCCTCCGACTGTGCAGATTATATCTGCCGACTAAACAACCAAGAAATGAATGAATAATCGAAATGAGTAATCGAGTCTCCACCGTATTAAAGACATAATTATGCGTCGTTGTGTAATATCGCAGCATGTGGATTTTATCGGTACATCTAAAACAATTTATGCCATATGTAATGAAGACACCGCTGTTTGTTCAGTAACTGCCATTGTGAAAAAAAATGCGATTACTATAAATATATGGACGTTTGACATGTCGTGTTTGTGCGCTGCAAGTTTTCTTTTTTGAAAGAAAAAAGTTGCTATCACGGCGTAATTCGCGATGTTCTTTCGAATACGGCTGCACTTTCCAGCGCACAGTATAATAATGCGCCACTAACCACTAACTATTGAGTAATCTTGTCGTAAATCACTCAGAAGGTATGTTGATGTGTATCGCTGAATCATAATAACGGAAAGATTGATTCTCGAGCTCACGCGAAGGACGCCAACTTGCCGGTCGGAAGCTGCGCGATATCTCAGAGGGTCAAAGATTATCTCGGCATTCACGGTTGTTACATTTCGCGTATAAATGACTCGCAAAACAGTGACAATCATTTGAAATACTGTCTGTTATAAAATATAGCTCGGTAGGCTCGTACAAATCAAGTTTTTCTTTTGTTTTTATAAATCCGAGTCTTGCATGTCCGACTCGGCATATTAACGCTACGTCCAACACATACGTCAATTTATAGCTTGATGGCCTCATTATTTTTTTCTTTCTTTTGAGCATGATTTAAGTCGAACTAAGTTGTGACGCCACGATATCGCGTATAGAGAGAACGACTCGGGAACATCTCGCGTACGTAGAAAATTCAAGTGCCGAAGAACAGTAAAAAGTTGAAATTATTCACGTGCGATAGTCAATTCGCGGACATCCGAGACTCCAAGATCAATTCAGGTCGATGATTTCACGCGAACAGACCAGCGGCAAATGAAACGAAGGTTCCTCGAAGGATAAAACAGCTATAAACTCATTGCAAACTGCGCATGCTCAAATCGCGACCAGAAATAGGGAATCCAACGAGGAGCAATTAAGTCATAAATATCTGCACATTCGCAAATGTGCAATGTTGTCTCTCACCGTGCTTGTCTATGTCGACGTCGTGGAAAGAGCATTTTACTCTCGCTTCTTTTGCAAGATCGCTGGCGGCGCGCGCGGCTGTGTCGCAATAATTTTCCGGCGGTAATCGAGACGCGACTGCGTGATCAAATAGAAAGCGCATAGTTGCACGCCGTGTCTCTATATTTCATATTGTTTCACACTCGCGCGACACAGACTACGCGAAGCAATCAGGTCTATCTGTGTCACCTCGAGCCGGCGCAATCAAGCATTATCTTTTCCTTTTTCGATTTCTGTAGCGAGCAAACGTTTACGATCGAGATTGCTTTCAGCAGTAAGTATCAATTAAACGAAAATTGGCACATCGAATGAGGCAACACGCTGATGTAATAATTGCCGATTGCCGTCAGAGTGTTTCGACTTTTCCGCAATTTTCATTGATACACACGCAGAAATGTAGCGCAACTAAACGCAGTCCAAATGACGTGAGTTTCCTCCGTACGCTTTTTAGCGCGTTGTATAGTTGCGATTTGCAATGAAAATCTATCTATCCGATCATTCCGCGACACATTAGTCACGGCAAGATTTTATCGCGGTTGATTTGACCTGTGCGTTTTTTGCGCTTCAGACGCACGCTGTTTAATGTCGCGAATTGGTCCAGTCGTGCGCCACTTTATTCCAACGTTCCTTCGTTGGTCAACAATCCCCGTCTCTGTTGTCGTCGCTCGCGCACTTTTGCCGGTATTCTTTATTCCGCGACGAGCCATTACGCAACGCCGCGATAAATCCATGAACGGTAACAACTGCCGCGCGAGAGAGGATCGTTTGCATAACTGGTACCAGTTGGCCATTTTAAGACAGTCCTTTCCTATCGTTTTGGAAATGTCGATCTCGATGTCCCTTCGCGGACGAACGCTAATGAATTCTTGCGGACCAAACGTCCTCGCATTTCCTTTATTGCGCTTACGATGACACATACACACACATATATATATATATATATATCAGGTGCTTTATCGATGCTTCTCTTGGAATTATCCCGTTATATACCTTCCTCGGGGTAAGAGATTATCACGCTCGTTCCTTCGCCGAGTAGGGATTGAAGAAGGTCTAATCTCGATTCTCGAATTTTCCACGAGATGCTCGCGGTAAAACATATCGCGTTTCCATCGCCGTGAATAAATGTTTGAGATCACCTCAGCGTACTTGCGCGCATAATTATTCAATCGTTTGTGAAAATTACGACGGTTGTTAAGTAACGGACGCTATGTTGCATCAATTCCATCGATTAGTTAACTCAGAGAAATCCATTTTTCATTGGTCTCTTGATGCGTCGCTATTACTATGTCATATGCGGTAAAGGAAATTTGAAATCAATTAGTCAATGTCTCTCAAGTTCATTCGTGAAATGTCGATGAACGAGCATAATAGTTTTCAGCGTGATCGAGTACTCTAGAAATCTCTATCGGTCGGTTTTTTCTTTAGTTCGCAGCAAACCGGTTTTCTGATTTACTTTTTTTCTTTATCGGATGCTGTATATTTCCAATACCACTATCTGCATAGGGAACGCTTCGTTGTAGATTTAATGCGCATTTGCACGTTGTTAGATTTACGTCAGTTTCTCTCCTGTCAGTCATACAGTAATTATTAACTAATAAAGACATATGATCGTAAAATTGATCTATATAAACAAGGGACTTTATACGCTGTTTTTTGCGCTCTATTATCAATATGT